AGATATGAATAAAATACTTCTGGGATAGATGGAGGCAAGAAAAAAGATATGAATGAATTACTTCTGGGATAAGTGGAGGCAAAAAAAGGTACGAATAGAATACTTCTAGGATAGGTGGAGGCAAGAAAAAAAAATGAATAAAATACTTCTGGGATAGGTGGAGGCAAGAAAAAAAAGATATGAATAAAATACTTCTGAGATAGATGGAGGCAAGAAAAAAAGATATGAATAAAATACTTCTGGGATAGGTGGAGGCAAGAAAAATAAGATATGAATAAAATACTTCTAGGATAGGTGGAGGGAAGAAAAAGGTACGAATAGAATACTTCTGGGATAAGTGGAGGTAAGAAGAAGATATGAATAAAATACTTCTGGGATAAGTGGAGATAAGAAGAAGATACGAATAAAATACTTCTAGGATAGGTGGAGGCAAGAGAAAGTACGGCTCAAAGTAAGAAACGTGTAGTGGTTCCATGTTGTAAATCTTGCAAAAATAAAAATAAACGGTCAAATAGCAGACACGTTTGTCTGTTTTATCTGAGAAGATATATTAGTTTTCGGAAACATAATCAGTTTCTACAGAAAGCGTGAAATTTGTCAATTTCTATCATAATTAGTCGGAAACCAGGCAACAGATAAAACATCATTGCTTCCTCTTCTTTCTTTTGGTAGAAAACCTTCTTAATGACTGAACAGTTTTTACTGTTATTATTATTATTATTTTTTACAGGCGAGGAAGTATGAAAGATTGATGACATCACAGCCTGGACAATGAACAGGTGGCAGTGATGAGAAATGAAATGGCGCCTTTTTACGGCAAGATTAGAGAGAGAGAGAGAGCACTTCAGCGATTTACCATAAGCGTGCATACTTATCGGCGTCTAACGACCTCCATTAGTGAACTGCTGGCTCTGCCGTGAATTTAAAGAAAAATATTTAACAAAGACGAAACAAAAGTTTGGTATTATAAATACATAAATAAATAAATATATATATATATATATATATTTATTTATTTATATACACACACACACACATACGGGGTGGGGGGGGGGGAGAAAGAAAGCTTATATCAACACCTACATAGTGAGAATTACCATAAACTGAATCTTAGGGCTATCGTAAGTGTAATTATATGAACCCCCTTTTATAACCTCGCCTTGCTTTTTCTTCAGTAAAGCAGATAACGATTATGATGTTTAGCTGCAGCAATCTGAACAAGAGCTCGTGATTACTTTAGGCTTCTACTGAAACGTAGAACCCCTCGTGGATTGGTAGAAAAAAAAAGCGACATTTTAATAACCTAGCAGCAAGTGTAAAGGTTTGGTTTTTGATAAGCAAAAAGCTACAGAGGGCTCTGCCATCCACAAGTACTGAAACTCGATTTTTAGCGTCGTAAGCCTGATGACTTGCCGCTGAGCCACAGGGAGACGCAAATGTAAAGAAGGTGTAAAAATAAAAAGGTTTTGTACAAATAGGTACCCGCAATAGTGCGATATCTAGTAAAACACGCAGCAAGTTTAAGTATGAAAAAAATAAGTTTATTTTAGTGGTTTCGCGACTCTACGAAACGTTCAGTTACAGTTTCTGTCTCTCTCTCCAAAATCGGTATTTTGGTCGTATGATGGACCAGGGAGGGTCAGGTTCATGGCAACCTCTTCCTCCTCTCCATACTGTGATTTTCTACTGGTGAATGTTGGTGTTGATACAACACGAGGGTCGGAGTAAACCTCACCTGCTCCGACCCCTTTCAGGGTAATGTCCATGTAGGTATCGACAGTTATATTCTGTGTTTTGCACTATATCTCTAGAGTCAGTTCCAGAATGCACACAACACATTTCACTACTTAGAGACTAATAGAATGCATTTTACATAAAATACTCTATTAAATGTATTGTTCTTAGGTTCTAATTAGTGAAGGGTTTTAAAGTCCAGTAATAGGTGGCCTTATTACAT